AAAATAGCAAAAAAAGAGGGTATTTTTAAAAGAGGGTATGATAAAAAGGTTATTGGTATCAATTTCTCATATTTTTTTTGTATGTGTTCTTTATAACAAATAAAATAGACCTTAATTTTTTATTGTGAAGTTAGCATTTTGTTAGTTCATTAAAAAGGGCTTTTTATATCTTCTTTTCAAACATTTAATATACATTACTTATTACTAGTTTATGTAAGTAAAATATTAAGAAGAATGAAACAATTCATATTTAATAATTTATAATTGCTTTTTTTTTTTTGAGAAAGTAGAAATGTTTTCTATGTCTTAAAATAGATCCTTTGTGAGCTTTTTTAACTATTAACTTAATGTAATTAGTAGACTTTATATAGGTTTTCATACGAGGTATTACACTAACCCTAATTGTAGTCTTTTGAATTTCAGAGAAATGAATCAGTCAGGGATTTAGAAGAAAGAAAAGAGAGTAAAAACATGTTTTTAACGAACCCGTGGTTATGATTACATTAATGTTTTTGATAGTTTCAAAGACGTTAGAAGGTAAATAGGAAAAAACAGAAAAGCTTTGGATATCATATTTATGATAAATATTTAATTTGTTATGAATGATTTAGTGGAGCCCATTACATGTCCATTAGTTTATCTTCCAAGTTGTATTTTTATATATACTCTCTCTTATCAATAGAATGATGATACATTTTATCCCTAAATCTCTTTCTTTTCACACGTTATCAGCACGCTTTAACCCTAACCGTATAAGAAAGAAAAACAAAGAAAAAAAACAAAAAAAACAACCAAAAAACCCTAGCCTCCGAGTCGCTTGCGCAGCCGTCACCTTTTCCGACATCACTTGTCCAACATCACCATCTTTCTAATTTCCTCCATGGAGGTAAACAACTCAAAACCTATTTAATATTTATTAATCAAAACATAGGTTCATCTCATATAACACATTGTATGATCTATTATAAGACTATCTCCAATGTAAATCTCTACTTTTTTCTCTAAAATAGAGCATTGTTTGCTCCAATTTTATTATTCTATTTCTTACTCTAAAAGAGAGGTAGTATAAAAAATAGAGTAGAGAATAAAGTTACTATATATTTAGAGGAACTCTATAATTTAATCTATTTGAAAGTAAGATATAAAGTAGGGTTAGAGCAAATGTTACTCTTTTTTTTTTTTTTTTTTTACAATAGCAAATGTTACTCTATAATAGAATTTTGACTTTAAAATAAAGTGGGGTTGGAGATGCCTTTAGCACGGAAAATTATGTTTAGTCAATAGACATAACCTGTGCTACATAATGGATCTATTATATATTTTTTTGATAACGCTTCGACCGTCACATCTTCAGTGGACCTCACGTCCTCTCTCGGCTCGTAAACCTACCCTTATCCAACAACCGGTTTGTTACATTCGAAGCTGATATTTTGGGCTACTGCATAGGGTGAAATATCTTTTTATATATTGGTTGAGACCCTTCATGAACACACGTACCTGCATCTGTTCTGGATCTCCTGCACGACCTGAATACACCAAGAGTCTGCTAAAATCCGAGTCGTACTCCCGCACTGACCGCTCACCCTGAGTCAACGCCAAAAACTGCGACTCCATCCGGTCGAGTGCACACCGGGCCCACCTGGTTGCACGCCAAGCCTACCTATCCCAACAGGTTGCACACCCGTCACTCATGGTGGTCCAACTGGAGCCTGCGGCAGGTACCGTTCCAAAAAATGCGTCAGCAAATCCGGAATCCGATCATTCTGACCATGGAGTACACCAGTACCATCTCCCGGCAAGCCGACTCCAACGACACTCACACTAGCACCGCCCAAGGAGCTTTCCTGATATGACTAAGAATCGCTGACATGCTCAGCCGTAGCACTCCGGTCTACACTTGTGTCCCTTCCCGAGGCAACACCACGCCCCCTACCGCGACCACGCCCACGACCACGACCAGCAGCTCCACCTCTAACCATCTGCACCACATCATAAATCTAAGAATACAAGAGCAAAAACCACCAAACAAACAACCTGCTGTGTAATCTCATTGAAGGCTCAAAAGGATGATTTATGTCTCCATGCCCACACAAATAGGCTCAAAAGGATGATTTAAGTCATGCTAATGTGGAATCCACGTGTGCTGAAGTCATGCTGACGTGGAATCCACATGTACAAAATTGAAACAAAATTGGTGGAATTTCAAAAATACCCTTTTTCCAATACCATTTTTTTTTAAATACAACTCTTGTAAATTTATCAAAAAGTCACTACAATTTGAAATTTATCAAAAATATATATGTAAGCTTTATATATATAGCCACAAATTATCTTTATATATGTGTAAATTTAAAAACCTTATAAAAGCTTTATAAATACCATATAAATACCTTCTTAAAATATTTTAATAACTTCGGATCCCATTCTAACACAATACTGGCCGGTACTCCATGAAGTCTGACAATCTCCTGCATATACTTATTGGTTAACACTGCCGCTCCATCAGTCTTCTTGATAGCCAGAAAGTGTGCACACTTGGTCAAACGATCTACAATGACCCAAATAGCATCCTTGAACTGAGAAACCGGCAAACCAACTATGAAATCCATCGTAATTATGTCCCACTTCCACTCTGGAATAGGAAGACTCTGCAGTAGACTACTTGGCACCTAATGCTCAGCCTTCACTAGCTGACACACATCACACTCATACACCCACTTAGCCACGTCTTTCTTCATCCCAACCCAATTGTAGTACCTCTCCTGGTCGATCCTGTATGAATAGAGAACATTCTTCCATGAGCCTCACTTATAATCTCACGCCTCAAACCCTCATTCCTGGGAACACAAAACCGCCCATGCACAAGAATAGTCCCGTTGTCTGCAACCTGATACTCTGAATCTGTATCCTTAGAAGTACTAACAAGCCCTGCATCATTCTCCTGAGCCGCCCTACCTATGGTCAGAAGATCTGCTCGGCTAGCTGCCTCTAACCCAAGTAACTCCTGAGAAGTATCACACAAACGCAGAGTGCTAATCTCTCTTACCAAGGTCTTCATATCCTGCCCTATAGCTAAAGCCGCTCGCTTCCTACTCAAGGCATCTGCAACTAAATTAGCCTTACCGGGATGGTAAGCTATCTCCAGGTCATAGTCTGCAACCAACTCCATCCACCGCCTCTGTCTTAAATTCAACTCATATTCCGTGAATATGTACTTCAGGCTCTTATGATCTCTAAACACATAAACCTTCGCTCCATACAGATAGGATCTCCAAATCTTCAGAGCGGATACTACCGCCGCCATCTCCAAGTCTTGAGTAGGGTAGTTGCCCTCATTCTTCCGCAATTGCCGCAAAACATATGCAATCAACTTACCCTACTGCATCAACACAGAACCGAAAACAACTCCCGAAGCATCTCTATACACCACATACGGCTCCCCCTGTTATGTTAGAGCCAAGACTGGCGTACTCGTCAACATCTTCTTAAGCTTAGCAAAACCCTGCTCACACTCAGGAGTCCACACAAAAGGAATATCCTTCCCCGTCAACTTGGTTATCGGTTGAGCTGTGCTTGCAAAACACTTCATGAACCGTCTGTAGTATCCCGCCAATCCTAGAAAACTCTAGATTTCCGTGGCATTCTGCGGTCTAGGCCAATCTCTAATAGCCTCAATCTTCTCTAGCACCACAAAAATTCCCTCTACAGACAAAATATGACCCATAAAACCCATCTCTCTCTGCCATAAACAACACTTGCTTAGCTTAGCATACAGCTTCTCCAAAACCGCCCTCAAGTGCACCTCGTATTCCTCAGGACTCTTAGAATACACCAGGATATCGTTGATGAAGATGATAATGAACTCATCCAGAAACGCTAGGAACACACTGTTCATCAGCCTCATGAACGCCGCTGGTGCATTTGTCAATCCGAAAGACATCACTACAAATCATAATGCCCATATCTCGTCTTGAACGCCATCTTACGAATATGCGTTCCTTTACCCGATTTTGGATGCATCTTACTGGACTCTCATCAAAGGAATCTTCTAAGGCCGAAGTTCCTTTACCCGATTCTCGAGAATCCTCACCGGTCTCGCCTCTAAAGTCATGATGGGCTGAAAATCTGCCAGAATCTTAGCCAATACCTCATCATCCTTATGCAGACATTTCTTCAGCATCGACACATGGAACACCTTATGGAACGCCTGCATAACCTTAGGTAACTCCAACCGATACGCCACCGGTCCAACCCGCTCCACAATCCTGAAAGGACCCATATACCTAGGACTCAGCTTAGTCTAAGTAAGGGACCTGTTAGGACCACGTAATATCGCCATTTTGAGATACACCATATCTCCAACCTCAAACGCTAACTCCTTGCGCCGCTTATCAACATAACTCTTCTGTCGATCTTGCGCCTCCTTCATGTTCAACTTAAGAACCCGAATCTTCTCCAAAGTCTTCTGAACAAAGTCTGCACCATATATGCTCCTCTCCCCCACTTTGGTCCATTATAGAGGTGTCCAACATGGCCTTCCATACAACGCCTCAGAAGGAGCCATCCCAATAATCGCCTGGTAGCTATTATTGTAGGCAAACTCCACCAAGCTCAACTGATCGTCCCACTGACCACCCCAATCCAACACACACATCGTCAAAAGATCCTCAAGCGTCAGGATGGTCCGCTCTGGATGCTCGTCTGTTTGAGAATGGTAAGCTGTACTTAGATGCACATTTGTACCCATCTCCTTCAGGAAAGCCAAGAATCACATCATACAGCTCCACTGGACTAATGTACAGATCTGCCGGCATCGACTCCCCCGCAATCTGCACATCCATACCACTAACCCGTTCCTGAAGCGCTAGCAACGCACCTCCTATGAGTCTTTACGGCTCCGAAATAACCACCAGGATCTCCTCGGATGTTACCACCCGCTGCGCACTCCGGTTTAATGAAGCTATTCGTAGCTCCAGAATGAAACATTTGCTGATATGATCATGGATAGTACTAAGGAATTGGAGCATGAACCGGAGCTTAAACTTGAAGAAGCTAAGCTAATAGCTGAGGAGGAGCAGCTCGGAGAGGAGGATAAGCAACTAGGAGAGGAGGATAAGCTTGTAGTCGGGGATGCTCTTGTCACACCAACTGGTCCAATGACTCGCTCAAGAGCTAAAATGTTTAACGAAGCTGTTGGAGGATTAATTAATCAGATTCGGAGCCAACACGATCAAGACATCAAGTATGTAGGAAAAGCTTGTCAAACCACTTTGGTTTTGATCCAAGCTAAGTGATTCAACAATGGGAAAAGTGTCATGGTTGTACTCTTTTTCCCTTGTCAAGTTTTGTCCCAATGGGTTTTCTTGACAAGGTTTTTAATGAGGCAACTGTTTCACTTCACCATTGCCCATTTGTTGAATCAAAAGCCCAAGGCCTTTTATGCACTTAAGGAGCCACGACCAAGAAGAGGAAGAGGGTCAATCTATCTGTTAAATTTCAAGTTTTAAATTTATTGCTTTGTATTTTCGAGAACAGCCTTGTAACTTGTTCCAAGGCTTATTCTTTCTCTTCTTTATAAACTCCCTTGTAATCTATTTGAAACTCAACCATCCTTTTTATCAAAAACCTTTTCTCTAAAGAGATCTTTTAGTTGGTGTGTATATCCAGCTTTTCTCTTGTTCGTGTGTATATCCAGCAAAAATCTTAGCCTCTTTGGTGCGTATATCCAAAGGATCTAAGTTCGGTATCGTGATGCTATTCCGCAAGCTTCTTGTGATATCCATCGACCATTCAACTTCTATTCCGTACCACGGCTTTCTAGCCAAATCTATCCTTGCTCAACTTAAGAATGTCGAATCCTAGGGATATTCTCATCATTTGCTAACCCACTATAGTAACGAATTTGGTGGAAAGGAAAACAAGGACCAATAAGAGTATTAGGTCGTTGAGTCCCTTTCAGTCCCAACCTATTAAAGTAAGTAGTTTATCTAAGGTTCATACCCTGAAAAGTGTGACCAGACAACATTTGGCTATTAGTTCATGGAGTTTAATATTTTTGGAAATCTAAACAAAAAACAGGTATTATTCAATCATCAATTTTAAAACAATTATGAAAGTCATTTGTTTTCTTTCTATATATATAAATACTAGTTAAAATTATATATTATTCGTTTAGTGATATGTTTTAGATTCTCAGTATGTTTTAAATGAATTTGAAAATGAACTTCCCTGCCAGCTTCTTGTAGACTGAACTTTTTTTTTCTTTTCTTTCAATCATAAGTCTTTCCTTTTTGTCTTTCGATCAAAATAGAAGGAAATTTTTGTCTTTTATCTTAACTGTATAAAAATAAATTTTGATCGAAAGACTTTTGTATTAGGCTTTCAACCAATTTACTCAAGTTTCGGCTTATCCTAACTTAGTTCGGTTTGGAGTCCGTAGAAGTGGCTCAATAAATTGGGCTCAATATTCTTTTTGTACTACATTTTCATGGGCCAATAAATGTTAAAAATCAAATGCTCAAGGCCCAATTATAAAAGTATATAATCTGCCGTTCCATTCACATATTGAAACCCTACTTCTCTTAAGATTCTCCGCCGCTAGTACAAAAATTTAGAGTTCTCAGAAAAATTGGAATCTGAGTTTCAAAACCGCTCATCACATTTTGAAACCTTTGAATGCATGTGGTTTGATATAGGTAAGTGATTTTCTCGTCTTTATAGCATTGTGATTTCGAGCCTTTGTAATGAAGTTCGTAGAAGATTATATAACTCTTTTGGTTCTCAAGGATATTGGTGGTGATTAGGCGAGCCCGCTTTCTTCACTCCGGAAATGAGAGAGAAAGTGAGAAACAAATCATGTTCTCTTTTTGCGAGGTCTCAACTATGTAAATCAGTAAGATTGTTTCTCATTTTTCTATATGGAGATAACTTTACTTTTCCATTTTTATGTTTTATTAGCAATCCACTTTAGATCTTTATTTTTCATTAGGCTATAAAGTTTATGCTAAATATACTACAATATAGGGATCCACCCATATCAAATACTCTTGAATTTTTGAGTACTTAGATCTAGATCTATTATATTCATGACAAAAATTATATGGATATGGATATACCTATATTCACTGCTATCCACACCTGACCCGGATCCATAAAAAATGTTTAAATTATTAAAATATTAATTATAAATTATGTTGAATTTGTATAAATTAAAACAGAAAGAGTAATATAGGCCATATGATATTTTCAAAATATCATAAGACATTAAAATATTAATCATATACATGTATCATAATAAATTATATGTAAAAAGTGAATCCAAGTTAGAATGAGGTATTATAACCTTTAAATATATATACTCTTATCCAATTTTTTAGATACCCTATTTTCTGATCAGACTATATCTAGATTTTCAGATATTTTGTCGAGTCTTACTACGTTGTAGTAATTGTGGCGATAAATCTACCATTCTTGTAATTTACTTAAATAATTTGTTGGAATGTTACTAGTAAACTATTCAAAACAACTTGTGAAAATAAGTTCAAATAATCAAAGACAGAGAAACAATTACAAACAATATTTTGAGTTGTTGGTTATAGAAAATTCTTTGTTCAGAGTATTTTTGCACGAAACAAAGACCAAAAGAAAATAAAACACCTATGTAAACTATTAATTTCTATATGAAATATTAAATATTGTATTTTGATATTAAGCATAATAAAATATATTAAGCACATTTAAAATTTGTAAACCTTCAAAATCATGGAATTATGAACATGTGAAACAGATTATTAACATATTGATTCTTTTCATGGTAGAATAACCCTATTTTGTATTGCTAGGTATGTTTTCTCTCCTATATTTGTAAATATATTTAATCAGTCAAATTAGTTTCCTCAATATATTATTTATTATTATTTAATAATTAATTAATTATTTTTAAGTATGCGGTTTTTAGCTTCATAATTTCATTAAAATAATAATATGAACAATGATTTTAATTAAAATGAAAAATCAGTTTATTGTTTTGGATTTTTTTCATTAAAATTATTATCTGAACATTGATCTTCACTGAAGATATAAAGATTTATAAACTTTTTTTGACAGATTCATATATTACGATACAATTAGATGAATTTGAATATCATCAAGACCTCATTATATCTCCATCAATTAAACATGTGTAGTCCTTATAAATGATAATGTTAAAACTCTAACTCCGTCCACATCTCCTAGCTAGATAAAAAATACAAGTCATGTTTGGAATTCTAGGGTTTATTGCCGCCATGGAAGAAGGCATAATAAAGTAGTCTCTACCCAAAGCAAGTCCCCAAGGATGGAGATTATCCTCCAATTTGATTTCTTAATTGAGATATTCTCAAAGATTTCAATTGAAGACGTTGCGAGGTATCGTTGCATGTCGAAGCTTTTGTTTTCCTTACTGCATCGTCGAGAATTTACCCAAATGTTTCTAAAATCATGTCATTGGTTCGGCCGCATATTTTATTCACCTTCCTACACAAAGGTAAGCAGATGTTCTACTCCATACCTCATGAATTAGATCCACACCGCAACTACTCTTCTCCTATATCTCCCTATTTCCATATGCATTTCCCTTAAAGTTTGGGTTCTGCGGAAAATATGTGTCCCTCTTCACTTGGTTTGATCTATAACAAATCTAAGAACCGATGATTTGTAAGCCTAGCACAGAGAGTACATATGTTTACCACTAGTGACAACGAAGACGAATAAGATGAAACCCCATCTCGAGTATGATCACATCGAAAACTCTTCAAGGTATTATCCTTACAGACTTTTTGGATTGGATCATACCCGAGATAGGGTGTAATCTGATTCCTCTTGGTTGTCACTATGGGTAAATATATGTACTATCTTGTGCTAGGGTTACAGAGCATCGGCTTCTTAAATTTGTTACATATCAAACCAAGTAAAGAGGGACACTTATCTTCCCAGAACCCAAACCTTTAGGGAAATGCATCTGGTAATAAGGAGTTATAGGAGAAGAGTAGTTGCTGTTTGGATCTAGTTCTTGAGGTATGGAGTAAAAGATCCGTTTACCGTTGTATAGGAAGTTGAATAAAATATGCGGCCGAACTGATGATATATTTAGAAACAGTTGGGTGAATTCTCAACAACGCAGTATGAAAGACTAAAGCTTTCATAAAATACCTGAACCTTCGCCCCATACAGACAAGATCCTAACCGGCATCATTATCCGTTAGCGTTTGGTGTTCTTGACGGTGAGAATGATGCGAGTTGGAACTGGTTTATGGAGATGATGAAAACCGTTATTGGAGACTCCTCCGAAATAGCTTTTATGACTGACAGAAATGCAAGTCTCATCAAAGCCATAGCTAATGTGTATCCACAAGCTTATCATGGGTTTTGTATATACCATTTGTCCCAAAATGTTAAAGGTCATGCTTCCAACTATAACAGAGATGTTGTTGCATGGAGATTCATGGAGGTAAGCAGGTTATACACAGTGGCTGAGTTTAAAGTGGAATACAATTCGTTCAAGGTAAGGTATCCAAATGCTGCCAAGTATCTCGAAGATTATACGAAGGTTGAAAAATGGGCAAGGTGTGTATTTCCAGGAGAAAGGTACAACCTAGACACTAGCAACGATGTGGAATCATTGAACAACGTATTCAAAGACGTTAGGAGGTACTCCTTAATTCCCATGCTTGATGCGATTATCGCTAAATTCTCTGAATGGTTTAATGAACATCGGAAAGAGGCCGTGTCTGGTTCGGTTGCAAATAAATTGGTGCCTTTTGTGGAGAATTACTTGCACGATTTATGGGGGGTTGCTGAGAAACTAAAAGTGACTGAGCTAAACACTTTTGAGCTGCAATACAATGTCATTGACAACGACGGGAAGCCTTATTTGGTGAATTTGGTTATGAGGAGTTGTGCTTGCAGGTTCTTTGATATTCAAAAGTACCCTTGTGTACATGCATTGGCCGCTTTCATAGAGTACCTAAACACTAAAGATAGAACTAGAGATATCCAAATGCATGAGTTGTGTTCTAGGTACTATAGGACGGAGCTGTGGGCGATGGCGTATTACCAGACAATTTTCCTAGTACCGGATAAGTCTCAGTGGAACGTCCCGGCTTGGGTGAAAGATGTTCAGATCATTCCGCCAAAACGCAAAACAAAGGGTGGAAGGAAGAGAACTAAAAGGTTTGCGTCTACTGGAGAAAAGCGACCACCAAAGAGAAAAAGAACACAGAATAAAAGGCGGCAGAGACAAGGACTACAATGGTTGTTATTCGGAGTTTCTAGTAATGTTTGATTCATGTTTCGTTTATTTTTTGATTCATGTATGGAACCTTCTGTTTGTACCTCTACTCTCTATGTTATGTGACAATGTATGTTTGCTTCTTATTTAGCTTGATGTGTCGTAGCAGGGTGAAATAGGTATAACTGTTATTTTTAAGGCATAACTGGCATCTGTTTGGTAAAACTGGTCAAACTAGTAAAACCGACATACTAGTACAACTAGTATAACTGATAAAAGATGTTTAAGATGCATTAACTATGTATGTACCAATAAACGACATACCTAATGTCTTAACGTTGGTTAAAAGTACAATTTTAACTGATCAAAGATGTTTAAGATGCCTAAAATTACTTTATATTGAACCTAACTATGTATGTACCAATTAATGACATACTTAATGTGTTAACGTTGGTAAAAGTACAATTTTAAAAAATATTTATATTTTGGGTCGTTATGAAAGAATCTAAACTAGTGTTTCCTTATACTTTTAAGTTCAATTTGTAAATAATCACTAGGTTGAGATGAAAAAGTTATATAAATATAAATTTTTAATATATGAATACATAGAATACTCTTAATTGTAGGTAGACTGACATTAATAAACTGTACAACTAGTAAATATAGTTTTAAGTCAGTGTAATACTAATGAAACTGAAAAACATCAAAAGTACAACTATTTGCAATCTTGGTACAACTAAATCCTTGTGGGTACAACTAAGTGAAAACACATAGTGTGAACACCAATGCTGGACACGTGGCAACGTGTGTTTGGTCAATTTTTTTTTTTTCGAAAAACTTTCTCGAAAATTGGCCAAAACATTTTGAAAATTTTGGCCAAAAATTTGAATTTCTCGCCCAACGAAATTTCAAGTTTTTAAATTTTTTGAAAATAATTTTTTTTTTTCATCTCTTCTAGATCTCTCTCTCTCCTCTCTCTCTCTCATTCATCTTTCTTTCTTCTACTCTCGACATCTCTCTTCTCTCTCTCTCATCAATCTCGACATCTCAATCTCTCTCTCTCAATCTCTCTCTCTCATCAATCTCGACATCTCAATCTCTCTCTCTCTCTCAAGCTCTCTTTCTCAATCTCTTTCTTCTCAATCTCTCTCTCTCAATCTCTCTTTCTCAATGGCGGAGCGATACTACCAAGGGGAGGATCCACACTATCGACACATGAAAGAGGCAAAGAGATATATGGACCGACTTGATGCCGTAGCCGATTCTGATTGGGGCATTCCTCTTCAATGTCCGTGTGGTGAACATATCGTTGAGGAGACATCTCCAACGGAAATTGAGAAGAAGAGATACTTTACTTGTGTTCACTATAAGGTAATACTGGTAATACTGATATAGTGGTAGTACTAGTAAAACTGCACCAAACTTATATATTGTGTTGTGTTGCTTTATAGGATGATGGGTTACACAGGCGCAAATATTGGGTTGATGCGATTGAGGAGGATGCCAAAAGCTTGAGGAAGGACGTGGAAGAGCACACAACTAGATTGAGAGAATACGCAAATCATGACTTCCTTATCTCTCAAATGAAGTTGCAGCTGGAAGGCAATGCAAAAGAGATTGCCTACCTCAAGGACGTAGTGTCAAGCCTTGTGGGTCGAATTGAGCTCTTAGAAGAATTAGCTTTAAGTAATTACTTTGTTGTGTCTTGTTGTTTCTTTTGAAATTAAGACTCATTGTTTAATGTGCTTTAGTTTAAGTCTATGTTGTGTGTGTTTTAATTCTATGTGAACTCTATGTAGTGTGTGTTGCAATTATATCTTATATTTTTTGCAGTCAAGTTTTACTCAGTTTTACTAGTATTACTATGCCAAACCGCAGTCAAGTTTTACTCAGTTTTACTCAGTTTTACTAGTATTACTATGCCAAACCGCAGCCAAGTTTTACTCAGTTTTACTAGTATTACTATGCCAAACGCAGTCAAGTTTTACTAGTATTACTATGACAAACCCAGAAATCGTGTTCTACTTATACTCAACATTACTAGTATTATTATGACAAAGTTATACTTAGTATTACCTAGTTATACGTACTATTACCTAGTAATTCTAGTTTTACCAAATCCTTAAAAAAACTGAAACCGTACTAAGTAATTCTACTAATACCAAATCCTGAAAATAAGTTAAGTTTACACAACCAAAAACACAACCATAAAACAAATAACATAACCAAGTTCACAACCATCTTCACAACCATCTCCACAACCACATTTAGTTTTTCTTCGACCTTGTCTTCGATCTTGAACCGGGTTCTAGGGGGGCTGGTCGTTTCTCACCTTTCTTCTTCTTCGTCTTCTTTTGCTCCCCCCGCTGTTTCTTCATCTTCTTCCGTTCTCTTCACGGAAGCTTCCAATTCATTAAACCGTTTCTCAAGTCCATCTAACTTCTCGAAAATGATCTCAAACTTCGAACTCACTTCTTCTTGGAGGGTGTTGACCTGAGCCTCTAGATTATTGAAGGCTATTCTCGGTGTAGGAAGGGCATCTTCGTTTTCTGACCGGGCCACCACATCTTCATCGAACATCTCTTCGAAAAACACACCCTTACCTTTCGAAATGAGCTTCATCCAACTCTCAACCACAACATCATGCACATCATCATCTTTGTGACCTTCGTCGATGATTTCTTCCAACAGTTGAGATTCTTCATCGGTAGATTCTATGATAGAGACAATATCCTGTTTAAACAAAAGAAAACACACACACATTAAAAACACCCAAGTACTAGTTAAAGTTTCGATGAATTGGACAACTAACCTTAGTTTGACCGAGAACGTCATTTAGCTTCTTGAGAGGAAACCCTTTCATCGCCCCTTTCTTGAATGTCCTCCTACACATCCGGGGACACTCTATGTCCGCGTCTGGCCTAAATTCAATGAATTCATTACCAAGTGTAGGAATTGCCTCAAAAGCCAATAACTACACAACATATATAATTCATGTTAGCACAAAAGAAGTTAACAATCACAATGAAATTCGATTAGACAAACCACTAACCTCCATCGGGATAC